TGCTGGATGCTTTATTTGGTGTTTACCTCTTACGAAAACATGTGGTTACCAGTTTTGTCTATGACTTCCTTTGTTGTTTAAACCTCTTAATCAGCATGCTAAACTGAGCCTTTGATAATAAATCACAGCTCTTAATGTTGAAACACACAGGTTGGTAGAATACTTTCTTCAGCTTCTCCTCCTTTGCTTTTTCTCTGAAAAATGACTTGCCTCCCTCACATTGAGTTCCAGTTTAAGGAATTAAAAAGCTGGATACAGTGAAGGAATGTGGGGAAAATATCTTGAAGCTCAGATAACTGAATAAGATGAAGTCCTGTCACACTTGGTAATTGAACTGAGTTCAGGGGCTCCCTATGAAACAGATTTCTGAATTAGCTTGTTGCACTCCAGAGAACTCCAGGTGCCCTTCAGGTGAAATGTTGAATCTGGGAGGAAAGCTGGGATGGGTTTTTGAGCAAAGATGAAATGACAGGAGTATGTTCATTTTTCTCTGAAATTCACTGGTAATGAACTGTATTGCAGGCCTGTAGTTCACTAACACAGTTTTTCAGTTCTGAGTTTGGTTTTGGGACTTTTCATTGCTTTTGTGTTTGGCGCCAGAAAACTAGGCCACTTTTTTCCTGTTCTCAAACAAGATGTGTTGTAGTTAACGTAATCCAGCCAACAATTTAGTTACTCATTGCTTGACTTCTCCACACTTTTTACTGTGGAATATCAAATCAGTTGTGAGACTGCCAGACAAAATACCCAAGAAAAATGGTTTTTCTGCTTTGTGAGATTTTTTTCCATCCTTAGTGATACTATGTTGGAAATCATGTGATATGGTTTGCACTGAGAAACAATTGTGTAGGATGTTATCTGCCTCCCTTACTTTCACAGCGTTCCAATAAAAACCCCAATCTACTGGCCCATTTTCCTGTATGATTGTAATTGAACTGTGCATGACAATGAAACTGATGTTGAGGATTCCATTTATTCCCATACAGTAGCTGTTCCTACTTTATTTGAATTAATTGCTTTTAATTATTAAATTATTTTCTCTCAGACGATACACCTGCTTGTCAATATTCACAGTTTCTTCACTGCCTGGCCCTTTAATGGTAATTTCTGAACAGTCAGTGTGTTCCCAGCCCTTTGGAGTTTGTTATGATCTTTTAGAGAGGAGAGAGATGTAGGAGGATTGCAGTTATCTGTAAATAATTAGGCAGGTGGGCTCTTTATACCAGCTGTGCAAAAAAGAATTCGGTGATCTAATCAAATGCCAAATATGAGCTAATGTGTGCCATGGTTATTGAACCCTGTGAGGCTAAATATGAATAAGCATGCATTTTGCTATGGCTGTGACTAACGCAGCCATGGATTGATTCCATTTTATTCTGCGTGGCTATATTATTAATTTCCTTTGAAAGAGTAGTAAATCAATTTTTATGGTTATACAGTGGCATTGAAAGGTGAGTTTTATGAAAGACGAATAGAAGTAGTGAGAAGAGTGTTAATTTTAACTTTTTCTAAGGAAACATGGAAAACAAAATAGTTGCTCAGAAAGATTTGTTGCACTAAAAGAATATTGTATAAATCTGACTGCTGTTGTGCTTGCTCGTAGAGTGTCTAAACAACAATAGGACTTTTATTCATCTAGTTTTGGAAACAAAGTACTCCCAGAAAAGACAGTCTAGTGATTTTTCTACCTAATTTTCAACAAATTTTAGGGACCCAGATTTCCCCTTCATAAAGGTAAAGATGAAATATTTTTCAGAAGATGGAAATTAAAGGAATTCAGTGTATCAATCCATAAAATCTGAAAATTTCAGGCCCATTTCAAAACTAGATTTTCAGAAAGAATCCAGGTCTCTTGATAATGCCCCTAGCAGGTTATTGCTTTCAAGAATCTATACTGTCACAGCTGCATGCTGCCAGACTTAGTTGTCTGATCATCCTCCTGTATGTTTGCCTGTGCTTGGTGACTGCTTGCAATCTGTTTGGACCAATGCCACCTGGCCTCTTCTGCAGGGAAATTTGGATTCAGTAAGGAGGCTGGTATACATTTGAGTCCCATTTTCACATGCCTTGCACCTCTACAATGTGGGTACATATATGTGCTTGGACATTATGCTAAAGTCCACTTGAGTGAAAGTACATATATATAATGGGTTGAAAATATGATACTGTGTGAGATGTGTAGTGTGAAGAATATATGCATCCTCAGCATGTATTATGGACCCTCAAAGACAGAGAGTTCTCAGGGAGGCATAGGACAAACAGATGTGTTGAAGAAGTAGGTAGTAATGTCCACCAAGATGTTAGAAATGGAATGGGTGTTCTTGGGAGAAATAGAGAGCACTGACTGGGTCCCTGCTGAAGAGGAGGGTGAACTGGTGCTGCCACCCACTGTGAGGCTGCAAGTCCACATCTTCCATATGGAATGAACAGTAGGATTATGCCTTTGGTTGGCTGACTCTTGAGGGAGAGGGAGATGTCTGGGTGCTGAAGTGTTACCTTACAAATGGAGGACCACCCTCTGAAAGTATGTTGACAAGATGCTAGCAATTGGTTCTCTTGTTATACATTCAGCAAGATACTTGAAAACAGTTAGTTACTAATTTTAAGACATTAAACTATTATGTGTTAGATTCTTTTTGAACAGTGATAAATATATCATGAAGGATTTTAAGAAAGGTTTGTTTATGTGTTTGTTTGTTTTTTTTTTTTTTTCCCCAAAAAAGTTCTCTAAACAACTCCTGTAATACATGAGTATGATAAAAACTTGCACATTCAATACTGAAAGGTAAGAGAATACAAGCATCTGGGTCCACCGAGGCTGTTCCTTTGCTTTGTGTGTTCAAAATAATCTGTGAGCTCTTCTTCCCTTTTTATCTTAATTTTTTAGGATGGTTGGTATTCTATGACAGCCCGAGTTTTCTTGCTCTGGGTGGATTTGACTGTACTGACTCTTTGATAAATTTCTTTTTCTCAGATGTTTTTCTCAGTTTCTCAATGCAGTGCCACTGTGAAGTGGCTGCTTAGAGTAGCACCTTCAAACTGAGGCAGTCTGCTCTTGTCATACATTTGGTTGTGTCTTTATTTCACTCACTGACGTCTTTTTTTCTCCTATTTGTACTGTAAAGGCAACACATAAATCTTTGTTCATCCTGTTCCGTTTAAGCCCATTAAAACACTTCTCTGGTACACTGCCTCAGGCTCTCATTTACACTACAGCAAGGCAAGTTTCCTTTCCAGTTGTAACCACTACAGATGAGAACAAGAAGCTGAATTTTAAGGTCAGTCAGGCCCCGGGTTTTCACAGATGTCTTGAACATTGTTTACAGAAATAAAATAATCTAGGACCTGCTTTGAACTGCACAATCTTCCCCTGATGCCAATGCCTCTCAAGGGATTAGCAAAGTTTTAGAAAGAAGTAATCTCTAGAATGAATTTTTGTTTTGTTCTTTTGTTCCCTCTGTCCCTCCACTGTTTGCCTCACACACTAGTTATGAATAACCTTTGAGAATAACTGAGTTACCACAGTGCAGGTGGTAATTCATCTACCAAACAGCACAGAGCAAGGGCAAGCCTCCCTCTTGCATATTGATTTTGTGAACCCATTCTTCTCCCACCTGGAGAGGTGGGAAAATTGAGGGAGATTTAGGTAGTCCTGGAAGGATATCCTTCTCAAGGTTGAAGTACCAAATTCCACTGGGAGATGGGTGGTAGTTGCAGAAATGAGTGAAGAGTATGTAACTCATACAGTGGGCTGCTGTGTTTATTTAAAAGTAAAATGAATGAAATCCCCCACTCCAACCAGCAAAGCCTTCCACTTATTTTACTTAAAAACAGAGTTGACTGCACTGTGCATTTTTACTGACCAAGTAAACCAGTAATGACCCCTTTGGCTCAAGCAAGAGTTTGAACCACAGTTTCCTTCTCTCTTCCTCCTGTCCACTCATCACATAACTGAGAGGTGAACAACCAGCAGAAAGTATCTAAGTCTGGTCTCCATCTCTTTTTCCCTGCTGAGTTGCTGCTGAGTTGCTCATTGGATCCCTTGTGGGGCAGCCGTGCAGGAAAGATCACATCTGCCATAAAGTAGAGAGACTGTTGCCCTTAAGGTCAGTCCTGAGCTGTGAGAAATACAACAGAGAAGAGGCTTCTGCTTTGCTCCTTTGTCTGGAATGCAGGAACAACTGGATGGGTTCTTTGAAAAACAATATTTCATTGCATCCGCAGTGTTTATCTCCCTCAAGTTTTACTGTGTCAAGAATTGCCTCAAAAGGCTGTGGGCTTTCCTTTTACATATTTATTTATTTTATTTTTCACCTTTCTTTTCTCGCCATAAGTCTACCGAGGAATTCTATCACAAAAGGAGCTTTCTTGAGGCTTTAATAAGTAAAGTGGAATTGCTTTAGGGAAATTTCCTTCCTGATTATGATTATATATACTTTTATGTGTATATAGGTAGATATATGAGACAGATGGTAACAAACTGTGCAAACTGTGATGTTTACTTCCCTCATATTCATGAATTTTTCAAATTCTGAGATTCCTTGAAGGATCTTAAATTGAATGTAGTAAACTTCTGAGAAAAAAAAATATAGAAAGCTTATTTGGCTTTGGTTTATTTGCTTACTTCTTAAGAGATGTAGAATCTCTGTGTTAACATAGTCTAGCCCTGAAGTATTGAGGTTACCCTTAAATTTCTGCCTAGGGCCCCCAGAGGTGGTTGCATTGTGTGAGGACCTCCAAGTTACAGCAAGCTCCCATCATGTGTCTTCTTCCTTATCTAATCAGTGTGTGTCAGGGGAGTGGAGGTAGGGACAGAAGGCTCTGTGTGGTTTTCATCAGTTTGTAATTTCTCAGTTTAGGGTTACAGGCTGTTGTGAGCTATGCAAATGGTAATACAAAAGAGAATAGAAGTGGCCTTGGATTTATATATGAACTAAAAATTGTTGGCTTGCAGACTTTTGTAAATATATACATAGATGTGGTTGTTTCTCTGTTTTTAGGAATACACTATAGATATAATTTTTGCCCAGACTTGGTATGACAGTCGTCTAAAATTTAACAGCTCAATGAAGGTGCTTATGCTTAATAGCAATATGGTTGGAAAAATTTGGATTCCAGACACTTTCTTCCGGAACTCAAGAAAATCTGATGCTCACTGGATTACAACTCCAAATCGTTTGCTTCGGATCTGGAGTGATGGAAGAGTATTATACACTCTAAGGTGGGTTTTTATTAAGTGAGTAGAAAAAAATAAAACTGTTACGACCAGGAATATGAAAATAATGAATATGAATCAAATCCTTGGCATCTCTTTCGTTGTGGACCACAGGAATTTGCAAGTTTACTAAAGGAGAAAATAAAATAAATTATTTGATAATGAAAACCATGAAATTAATAGTATTGAACTATATTACCTAGATAATTGGGTAAAGACTATTGGAGGGGATAGCAAAGTTTTAATGTTATTTATGTACAGGCAAGATTAAAAAAAAGTTATATAGCATGTAGTACCATGGTGGTCTGTCACTAATGTATTGCGGATCTAGTCATAAACTGTTTTACAGACTTTCTGTTCTAAATAGTTCAGTATCTAATTTCCACCAAATTATATTCTGTAAGTAAAATTAAATGCTTCAGAAAATAAAAATCATAAGAAGTTTGATTAAAGCTAGGGACCCAGTCCTGCATCTACTTCTTAACATGTTTATCCTTGCAAGCTATTAGAATCAACAAATCTGTTCATCCAAATTAGGCATATGCAAATATGTTGGTGATAATTCTTGGCAAATGGGGGATGCTTGGGCTGGTTTTAAGCTTACCATTTAGGCTATCTGTACTGATCTTTGAGTCACTTTTCAAACAGTTCTTTGTCATCTCTCAGTTTTACTTTCTAAGTATGCCTAAAAAATCTTGCAATAAATTAGAAACTGATCAGGAAGCAGTCCATGCAGAGGATTCCAGAAAACCAATTCTGTTCTTAAGATTTTATTCTTAGTATGCTTCATTTAAGAACACACAAATATCTCTGAAGAGCACTTTTTAAACAGTTTATTATTCTGGTGTTCATAAAAAAATCTCTAGAGATCCTCTTCTGTTGACATACTAATATATATATATATATATATTTCTTTTTTTTTTTTTTTTTTGTAGCTAACAATTCTAGAGTCATACTTGGACTTTACCCTTCCATTGTCCATTCAATCTCAATGTACAATTTCTTTTAAACAGAGTCTAAATAACACAAATAAACAAACAAATGCAACCAAAAAACCCACGTGAGCTCTTCCAGAGCAATAGGTTAGAATTACTGTGCTAGAGTATGAGCTATGAAGTACAATGAGCTAGGAATAAAACAGCAGAACAGGTATTCACCCAGCACTACAACATGAAAACATCTGTATGGGTGATGATATGGCCTGAATTTGACCTAAGGTGGCATAATGTTGAGAGGTTCACATTTGGCTATTGAAGGAACTATAACAGGATCTGACAGTGCTGCAGGTTCACAGGCTCTCCTGTACCACTACTCTTTCCCTGTTGGTAATTCAGGGAGCAGACGTGGTGATTTTTAGTCAGGCTTACTGAGTCGTCTCTGAGCGTAGTCCTTGGTCTGTCCATTGCACCTGTCAGTGATTCCAGATCTAGTTGTGTTGCTTTTAATAAAAGACTGGTTTTGTTTTCTTTTTCTTTGAGCATTTGACTATCCAAAGGTTGAAAATGGAAAACAAGGGCAAATGCATATAGCATATGTGGCAAATTTGAAACACATCGTCAGAGCTTGCTGTCAGCATGTGGCAGAATCTTCCTTTTTCCATACGTTTTTGTCTAATATGTAGGTATTACATACAGTCAAGTATGTAAGCATTATGTTAATTTTTAAAGTTGATTTTGGAAGACATTCTGACTTTCTTCACGGTGTTGCCAACAAAAGAGGAGGTATTTTAAATTCAAAGAAGGTGGTTTGGAGTCTAGCCCCTTACTCTAGCTTCCTAGTAAAAATTAGCAGAACTAGGCTTTTTGTGTTGGTTGCTTGGAAGCTCTTTGAAAATCTGTGATAGTATTTTCAAAAGCAGCAAGTGATTCAGTTGATACCTTTATGAGTCCTAAACTACTTTTAAAATGTGTATTGCGTGAATTACTTGAATGCCTTAGACATGGGTAGAAGTACCGTCTGCTCTTTCCTATTTGTTCTGCTGTCCTCACAAGAGCTGCTTCCATGAGTATAGAGAAAGCTCGAGTGTCCTCACTTTCTTTCTTGAGAGATACAATGATACCAAATGCAATTTGACTTGACAAACACATTCTTCAGAAAGTTCATTTTTTTGCTATCATAAACTCCCCTCCTTCCCCTGACTTGAGTCCCTCCCTTTTATCTCCTATTGCTGTTAGACAGCTGAGAGATTCTCCCAAATCAATTGAAATTTTTGAAATGGCTTGAAATGCCAGTTGAAACAACACAGGTCCTCAGGTTGCATATGATGGTAGTTTTTGTTCTTTGGCGGTGATGCTGGATGTTTTTTTGAAGATACACAGTTGGCTATGCATAACATCCATTAATTGGCAAAACTGATTTCTGTGCATGTTCTTCACTATCTAGTCTGAAGTGTCTGGATGCTTGAATATAATTTTTTTCTTTTCTTTTTTTTTTTTTTTTTTTTTTTTCCTCCCTTTTCTAATTAGGCTGACAATTAATGCTGAATGTTATCTTCAGCTTCATAACTTTCCTATGGATGAACACTCTTGTCCACTGGAGTTTTCAAGCTGTAGGTGGTAAAATACTCCTTATTTTTTTCTTGTTACATTCAGGCTTTAATTTTCCTTAAATTCTAGCAACAAAAGAGCATGTGTTTACTTTTTAAAACCTTGTAGTGAAGGAAAGAACTGACCTGTATATATTTTGATTAGACTTATTGCATTATTGAATGCATTATTAAATGCAATAATGAATGAGTTGAATTACATGCATTTCATATAGGTGCAACTTTAAAGATAATCTGATTGCTTAGGAATCTGATACAATGGCTGTTTCCTTTAATGGAAATCTGTTGTCCTGGAAGAACTTCATTTTTTTTATGCCTAACACACTTGCCAGCTTTCAATTAGTTCCATGTGGTATACTTACAAAGAAGATCTGTCTTCTTCAGCCTGTTCCTGTAAATTCTTAATCGGTGTAATAAGTCCTTCTCCTTTCAGTGAGACTTACTTATGTGAGCAAGAAACACAACTTTCAGGCTTCATTTTTTTAATATAAACTACACTAAAAAAAAAAAAAAAAACCAACAAAAAAAACAACGTTCCTAAGGGAATTGTGCTATTACTGGCAAAAGAAATCCAAACCACCCAAACACAGCTAAATGATATATTCCTAAATGTGAAACCTAAAGACTCTTTCTTGAGTGCTTCCACTTAAATAAACTTTGGTAGCTCCATTGATTAAATAGCTGTGCCAAACTAATGAGTCTTGCTTAATTTAATTTCTGCCTTTCTGTAAGATAATGTGGGGCAACATGTGAGGCACATCAAAATCAAGCAGGTTGCACTTCCTTAAAGTTGAAGGGCTAAGTGAATCATGCCACAAAAGTCCATTCTGAGAATAATGGACAAAGAAATTTTCAATAAACATCAACAGGAACTTAATCAAATTATGTACTAATAAGTATCTGTCCTTTTAAGCTCTTTGTGGTCTTTTAATCATAATGTATATTACATTTGTATATTAATTCATAGTGACGACTTTGAGCCAGTTTTTCATATCTGAGTTCCAGAATGCTGTGTAGATACTCCCTAAACATTTGTATTTACATAGGTTTTGATTGATCATGTATTTAACTAGGCTTAAAACCTTGGCTAGATGTTTTGTGGTTAAATTTTAAGTGTATCAGGTAGACAATAGATTGGCTTTCTCTCTGATCCACTTTATGTATAGCCCTGGTTTAGTTTATGAACAACTTGAGATCACAAAATATGCTTTGGTATATACTGTGGCTGAATGCTTGATTTGCAGTGTTTTATTCTAGATGGATATCCCAGAAATGAAATTGAATACAAATGGAAGAAAACCTCCGTTGAAGTGGCAGATCCAAAATACTGGAGACTGTATCAGTTTGCTTTTGTAGGGTTACGAAATACAACTGAAATTTCTCATACCTTGTCTGGTAAGGCAAAATTTTAAGTTTTATTTCATGTATTATCTATGTAGAACAAGGCTAACAGATTAAGATAAAACTGAAAACCAATGTCATGTGAGAATTTTTTTCTTTTTTTAATTTATAGGTGATTATATCATTATGACAATCTTCTTTGATCTCAGCAGACGTATGGGATATTTCACTATTCAGACATATATTCCTTGTATACTCACAGTTGTTCTTTCATGGGTATCATTTTGGATCAATAAGGATGCAGTTCCTGCAAGGACTTCTTTGGGTAAGAATGTATTTTTTCAACCTTGAAGGGTCTGGTACTCCCCAGGAGTACAAATCTGCAGCACGGAGTAAATTAATCACAGTTTATTCCCCTTCAGACTGTGACCACTGGTCACACTTTCTCTTGAACTGCAAGATTAAGAGTAAGAGGATCCTTCTGTGGATGCACAGCAGGGTTTAAGGAGGGAGTGTTGAGAATGGAAATCTGGAAATCCTAATCCAAGCCTTGTGGATATACTGTTGTTCACATAAATACATTTTTTCCCCTTTATGTTCTTTTTGTCATCTGCAGGATCACAATCATTAGTCTGACACTTCACTTAGTTTCATGGAACAAAGGATGTCAGTACTACAGCAGTGAAAACTGTGAAAATCTATTTTTTTTTTTTTTTTTTTTTGCTGGTGTTAGGTTTTTTTTGTTTTTTTTGTTTTTTTTTTTTTTTTTTTTTTTTTAATAATATAAATGATTCAGTTCTTTTAAGCTGAGGATAGGAGAGAAAATTTGCAACCAAAGTTGTACTTTAAGCAGTTAAGCATGTAACACACAAAAAGTGTCTCACTGTCCTGCTTTTACTACAGACAGTACTGAAGTGTGTTGTGAGTTCTGCTACAGAGATAATTCTGTGTTAGTGTCATCTTGGCTGACCGGTTTAGCATGGTGTCAGTTTCCTATTTTTGACTGTTTAGGATTTGTGTGCTGCCTTGGAGAAGAGTCGTAGCCCCCACATAAGGCATGCTAGACAGGGGTGCGTGGAGCACACGGAATGCACCCTATCAACTTTGAGCTTAGCGGTGACAGATGCTTTTAGTAAAACTGGTGATGGCAGTAATGACCTATTCCGGGGGAACGATCAAAAGCTGAGAGTGTATCTTAGGAAGTGAGAGATGTGAGTTAATTTTCCTCATCAGCTTATAGGGTTGCGGACACACCATTCCCACGTTCTGGGAGCGTTTCCTCTCAGAACGGTGAGTCCAGTCTTTAACTCCCTGCCTTTCCTACTGAAACTGGACCACTGTGCAGTCAGTCCTGCAAAATTAATGAGTCAAGGAAGAAAGCGAGCAAAAATGAGCATGGCTCAGTAGCCTAATGAAGAGGTAAGGAAAGAAAATCTGAGTCTTGGATCTTAACTTTATGCTATTCGAAAGTACTGAAAAGTTTAGTGAAGAGACCCTAAAATCCTCAATAAATAAATTAAACTGTAATTTGATAGTTTCGAATATTGATTTAGAAATTCATGATAAGATTTCTCTGCTTGACTAATTGTTGGACATCATTGTGGGTACCTTCTGGAAGGGCACTAGCTATAATAGGAAAAACTGTTGTATTGGTAACTTGCTAGTTCTGTATCCAGTTTGTGCTTTTACAAAGTACTTTTTCTATGCCATGAACCTAGCAAATTTGCCTTTGATCGCATGGCTCAGCTAGAGTTTTCATGCTCCCACTTCAGCAGTACTAACCTTCATCTACTTGAGATGCAATACAAACATTTGCAGTATCGTTTTTACAGCTCCCTGCAGTTAACTCTGAACTCCTATTGTGTGAACATGCAGAAGACATCACTTGACAGTTTGTAGGATGATTTTTCTCATACACAGATGTTCTGGTGAAGAAGAAAGAGAAATCAGTCAAATAGGCACAATTTTATAGAAAAAGACTGAGAAATTAAGACAAGAAAGCTGAAACTAAGTCCATCATGGCAGGCAGTTGTGATGCTGTGGAAGGTTTGCACCCTGTGACAGCCGCTGTATGCCTTTTGAATAGTGGAGAGGACTGGGAAAGTCCGTGTCTCCTTGTGTCCTCTCTGAACAGAAGTCAGTAAGGGGAATGATGAGTGTGACTTCCCACCCGGAGGCTGTTCTGGGGTCTGGCACACTGAAAAGGCTTGGGCCTTTTTCCATATATTTTGAACAATTCTGGCCAGATTGTGGTTTCCTGAAGCAAAAGGTTTGAGATGATTAAAGGTATTTAGATATTTAACTATGCAGAGAAATGCCTAACTGGTTTTCAAAAGCATCTAGTGGGAGTGAAGCACTTTTGAAAAACTCTGTTGGCACCTGTTTGCCCTTTTTGGCATGTAATTTTACTGGGAAATCTGTTGCAAAATCACCACTGCTTTCCTGCTGCAGGATCAGTCCATAGCGACCCCGGATTCCATGCTTTGATCTAAAAGCCATTAGACAGCCTTAGACTGGTGTAACACATTTCTTGCAATAAGCCTGTGCATGTAAATAACAAATTATTTGTGTGTTCAAGTATTGCTCTCCAAAGGAAAGGTCACATCTTAATTTTTTACTACTATGAAAAAGGCTTTGGATTTCCCTGAAGCATTAAGTATAAGAGGAAAGTGTTAACACCTTCTAAATGTTAAACCAGTGAAGAGTGGTATAGTTGAGATTCTGAACACATCGCTATTAAGGCCAGTGTGTACTTTTAATTAACATGTATGTAAGTGAATCAAGGGAAACATTTTCTATTACTTAAGACATGGTATTGAAAAAATACCTAGCAACTTAGAGAATGAGACCAGAAAGGCCATGGTGGCCATCTAGCTTGATCTGCTGCGTCAGAAGCAAATGATTGAAAACATTATTCCTTTTTCTTGTGTTTTCTGAGAGTTTGAAGTCAATGATAAATAACATACCTTTTTTTTTCTGAATGTGCCCTTTTGTGCATTTTAATCTTTCAAGAGCCAAAGAACTTTTTCTGTGTTTATAAAACTTGTGTGCTTATTTGTATGTGTTTGTCTATTGTATTTGGTTTATGTGTGCAGATTTATAAAATGACACAAGTGTTTTCAGTGTCGTTTGTTGGAAATGGGAGGGATTTAAACTGAAGGTGAAATGTGCTGCCTTCTGTATGATCCCACAGTATCCGCTGGATCCATATGGATAGCTTCTTGCAATAGCACCGTTGTGTGTGGGTGTGATCAGCGGTGAACCCTGCTGTGGCTCAGTTCTTGTATGCTTCAAGAATGAATTAAGGGCTAATTTGAGGATTTTTTTTTTTGTGACAGTATGATTCAATTACTTATACACTTCCCTCCTCCTGTCTTTTTTAATTTCTTTCTCAAACAGGCATTACAACGGTGCTGACCATGACAACATTGAGTACAATTGCTAGGAAGTCACTTCCAAAGGTTTCCTACGTGACAGCAATGGACCTTTTTGTTTCAGTTTGCTTCATTTTTGTGTTTGCCGCCTTGATGGAATATGGCACCTTGCATTACTTTACCAGCAACAGAAAAGGGGACAAAGGAAAAGAAAAGAAGGCAAAATCTAAGCCATCAGTAAGTTTAGCCAAAGAAGAATAAAAAATACAGAATGTTCCTTATTGTAGCATTAATTTTGAGAGACTGGTTCTTGAGCAGAAGGGCTGATGTTCAAAGATAATTAACATTAATATTTATTTTAGAGTTTTTTTACAGCTGGGGACTTGTGCTCATTTTCTGTAAATACTACTAATGAAGAAAGGGTTTAGATTATTCCACTCATATGTGAATGACAACACATGAGCCTAAGCTAGATAGTGGTTTGATAGAATATTCCATCTTCCATGCTGTGCCCAAACCCTTAGTGCTTCTACAGCTACCTGTGCAATGTGTGCCCATGGAGACATTTCTGTCTGGGCACAGTGCTTCTGAAAACAGCACCTGGCAGAGAACCATAGATAAGACTGTAGCAGTAGAGATAATATAAATGGACTGAAGGTATGATGATTTGTTTGGATCTGCATCACCTAACTTGGATTTTACTTCACTAGCTTTGCAAAGGAAAAAGTGCTTATTATTGGTCAATACTCTGACTCCCTTCCACTTCAGAAATTCTACTTTAACTCTTTTATTTTTTTTTTTTTTAATTTATTTCCATGTTTCTTTATGGTAAAATGAACCTTCTGCTTTTACAAGTTGATGTTTGTATGGTATGAATCCCCACATATTCCAGGAACAAGTATTACTCAATTTTAAGAGGCTTTTCATTTGTGTAGTAAGAATACTGTAACTTCCAAAGAATCTGTTGTTGGAAGCCAGTACAAATATTTAAAGCTTATCTTTAAACTAATGAAGCACTGAGGTAAAGACATTAAATACCTTACTCATTTGAACACTAGTCTTAATATCTGAGGCTTGATTGTAGTCATCTTTTAGAGAGAATAAGAGGAAGGACAGTGCTATAAAGCCCCCTTCCAGATCATTTCATCAAAAAAGTCTGGAGCATAGCTGAATCATAATATCAGTTGTCTTCTCTGGGTGAAGGCTGAATACCACCTGTGTAAGATCAGACAGAAATTAAAATGAAATTACAAAAGCCCAGATACAGAAATGCAGAAATCCTGTTATGAGCCATATCCATTCTTCAACTAGTGTTGGAAAGAGCACTGGTGCACCCATTTTGAGCCGCGCTGCTGTGGGAGACTGTCTTATGGGGGCACTGCAGGGCTGCTATGGCTGAGTACCAGGGAAAGGAGAGCCCTTACATTTCACACGGTGAGCTGGTCCGAGTGGATCAGCTGTGTGTTTAGGACAAGGCTAGTGGCAAAGGGTTAATACTGCTCTGTGCTGCCTTGGTCGGACATCACTGTGATCCTCAGGGAATCCAGCACAGCCAAGAGAACTGGAAAACTGAAACCTCAAACCTCCTTCCTGTTAGTGGTAGAAGCAAATGTGGGCACAGTGGAAAGGATGGAAAACAGGCTTTGGCAAGGGCCACGGCTGAGCAATGAAAGTAGAAGATGACAGAGGCTGCAGAATTTGGGGGACTTCCTGGTGTTAGCATAGCAGATTCAATTTTAGGTGGTTGTTGAAATGAGGTCTCAAAAACACTTATGGAACAGGGAGCTGAAATAGGTCTGCTCTCATCATGCACAACAAGGAGAAAAGGAAGAGGTGAGGAAATACCGCTTATTCAGACCAGGGAGATATTAAAGATCAGCTGCTGGCAGATCAAAAGCCACTGAAGTGGTTTACAAGCATAGTCTATTGAATGGAATAATGAGACTTTCCAGAATCTGTTCACACATCAGCCATTTGTGCAATAATTTGCCAAATGCTTAGAGATTTTCAGTGCATATGACAGTTTTGAATGTAGAATAATGGTGAGATAAAAACTATGACACTTATTGCAGAAATGGCTGGAGTTTGGTCTAAGGTTAAAAATATAAATATAATACTCAAAACATTGTTCAGTTGTGTTTTACTGTGTTCTTAAAGTGTGCTTTTTATTTCTAAGTAGTTGAAAAACAACCGTCTTTTCACACAGAATTTTTTAAACATGTTTCAGCACCTTATGGCTACAAGACCATAGTAGGTAAAAGATTACTCTAAAAAAAGGGGAAGATTAAATTTAATAGATGCAAGGATTCTAATCTGATAAATAGGTTTTTCTTTGGTGACATTTTATTAAAAGCTATAAAATTTCTTGTTCCAAACAGAACAATTAAAGAATCCATCTGATTAATAGGAAGTTGTACAATTACAAATCCTTTTTTTTCTTTTTTTTTTTTCTTTATCTTTGTCAAAGACTTCTATTCATTCTTGTTCTCTTGTAGTTATGGACATGTAACTCAAAAAACCACTTTAATTAAAATAGTTTAATTCCTTCTGAAAAGTTCTCATTTACAGGTGTTTTTTCCTTGGAAAACTTGCCTTGCATGTGTCTTCTATTTCTATCACAAAATGCAGTAAAAGCTTATTATTCCAGAAACTGATGCCAATCAAGTGCAATAAATGATCTTGTGAAAAAACAGTGAGATTTTTCAAATGATTACAGCAGTTTTATCTTACAAAATACGTGCTGGCATCATTCAAGAAAGGTAGTATGAATTGGCTTATGTAAATCCACATTAGTAAGGATAATGAGTTTGGGCAGGAAAGATTAAACTTAATTAGTTGTGGATCTTGTTCTGATCATCATTTCACCTGAAGTGAATGCATCATCTGTGCTGTGATCTCCACAGATGATGGCTTTCTTTTGTACATGTATTAGTGCTAATGCAGACTAATTTGGTTTTGGTCCTATCAGAGGCTATTAAAAATTTGTCTCACTATATATGGAGTTTTATCAAAAATATCAGTAGGCATGTACATGAAAAAATCAGCATGTACTACTGTATCTACATGGTTTTTTTTTAGTTTTTATAAGTCTCTGCCAATTGTTATAAGGTCATTTTCTTGTGAGAAGTTGGTTGCCTTTCTGCTTTTCCCTCAAGCTGTATCTTTCCTACACACATTTTATATATTCCCTGTTAGGCCTATAAGATGGTATTGTCTTTCTCTCAGGCCACATCTTCAAACATGTAATTCAGTAGCCAGCTTTAGTCTATGCTGGTGACATGAGCATTGAAAAGCAGTACTGTTATTTTTTCATCCTCCCATGGTGTTTCTGAGATGGGGATTCTTGTTTTACCCCACTAGTAGAAACAAATCATGTCATGAATCTTACATTGGCAGAACCAACAGTCAGAAAATTATTGTAAAGCCAGAGTAGGTGCGAATCAGAAATAAGCATCTTTCCATATATGTCTTCAACAAAATAATGATTTTGTAAGTTCAAAAAACATTTGAACTTACTTCCTATGTGTTGTAAGAACAAGCTTTGTTTGTAATGCCTCAAATTAGGGTAGAAGCATGTAACTGCTGTTCGTTAGTATTGTCAGTATTTTACCGTAACTGAAAAGAATAATGAGGTCCTTTAGGATGATAATTAGCTCCCTAGGTCATCATGTATAAAATTGTTGAAACAGCAGTCTGTGTGAAACTTCCTCTGGCAAAGACACTTATTAAATAAATCTATTTGAAAACATGGTGGATACTGCACTGCTTTAACATCACCCCTTGGGACACTGGGTAAAATGTCCCTGCAGCAATAGGGTGCCTCCTTAACAATGTATACTCTGTACTGGCCAAAGTAATTCCCTGGAAGTGGGACAACAGGACTCGAAAACATAAGAAGAATCTAAATGATGTGGCTTCCTGCTTTTCATATTTTTTCATTGCCTATCATGTATAATTGTTTAAAGAGAGATTCTTCTTTACGATTCGATACCCCATTCTTCTGTCTGCTTCCTTTTCTGCCATATTTATACCTTACATGACAAAATACGGAGATGGTAGAAAAGATAGAAGACAATGTAAGAATAGTGTTGATGTAATCCCTATCTTCAGTTTGAAGATTTTAAAAGAGATGCCAAAGGTGGAAGGGGTTGAAAGATGTGATTATAGAGTAGTTTGAAAAGGCTATGAGATATAGAAAGAGAAAAAAGGACAGATAGAGAACGTATTTTGAAATACTCAGGAAAACAAAGATGAAGAGTGAAGAACTGTGTGGAAATAAAATAATAAAAGGGGGAAAGATGGGCTGTAGCACAAGTAAAAGGAAGGTGAAAAGGCAAATGTTGCAAGAAAGGGAATAACAAACAGATTATGTACTAGGCAATAAGGCGCACAGGTTTTTTCTACGAAAAATTATTTATGAACCTTAACATCTATTACATTGAGGTTTTTACCAGGTGGCAAGAGCGTTGAGTTACGTCCATGGAAAGTAAAAGTAAGAATTAAGAGCTGAATTAATTGATTTGAATGACTTGAATGGCATTCTCCTAAGTCTTATGTATTGGTTTCTGAAGGTGGGGCATATTGTTTAGGGATTTAACATCAGAGGGTTAGATGATGTAGCCTGGTCTTATGTGTATCAGTCTCTTAAATGTCACCAGTGATGCTGCACTAATCCCATTAGCTTTTTTTTTTGTTGTTGAAAATCTAGCTTCCAGAAAAACATCCAGTCTCATTCTAAAGACTCCAAATTATGGGAGAACCATAATTCCCTTGGTAGTGAAGCTTATAGACTGGTTTTGGACTTGCTTGTGACCCAGTTGTCAAGCTGTGACTGAGTTCAAAATGTTCATTTGTGTTGTGTAGATAGGATCAGCTAACCCTGTCTGTGTAACTAATTATCCACTATTCCCAAATCCCAGCACAACCCAGTTTTCACTGTGGCAGGTGAAAATCATTCATGATCTTTTACCTGTGTGAGCTAATTATATACAGCAGTTCATAATTCACAAAGCTCCCCAAAACTGTTTAATATTAGAATTTCTATATATTGTGGTGCTTATATTGGCCTTTGCTATGCAAAGCGTATGGAATTATTTAATGTGAGGATAAAAAATCTGCAAAACTGTATTTTTCTTTTTTTGTTTTTCTTAAGAAACCATCTGCAATTGCTGTTCGACCTGGATCAACACTAATTCCAATTAATAACATTAATCATCTCCCTGAACGTGATGATGATTATGGATATGAGTGCCTAGAAGGGAAAGACTGTGCTAGCTTCTTTTGTTGTTTTGAAGACTGCCGCACAGGATCTTGGAGAGAAGGAAGAATACACATCCGTATTGCAAAAATTGACTCCTACTCTCGAATCTTCTTTCCAACTGCCTTTGCATTGTTCAATCTTGTTTACTGGATTGGCTATCTTTATCTATAAATTTCAGAGGTTTGACAAACTCAGAAGAAATATCGTAATTGAACAGTCATTAACACTTTTCAGTGAGCAGTCAAAGACTAGAGCTGGCCCAAAATGACTCAAATTGATTGTTCTAAAAATTTGAAACAATGAGAGGAAATATGGTGATGTAGTCTCCCTCTTGTGATCAATGATGGAACTGAAGAGAAAATTTAAATCTTTAAAAATAAATATCCCTAACATTTAACTTGCCTGAATACACACATATTTTTGCTCAGCTCTAACAAAATGCAGAGTCAAGAGGCTGTGTTATTTAACTGGACAGTTCTACATAAGCTTTCAATTTTAATCCTAAATGATAATGAAGGTGAATTTTGTAGCATCTCTTACACCTTTACAAAGAAAGCCTTAATAAAATGGGTTTGGTTATTTTCATCCATTTCATCCATAAGGTGATGATTTTTTTATTAATCCCTGAGTTTAAAAAGTTGAAATGGAACATTATTTTTCAATCAGCCATTTGTTCTCTGCGGTATGTTAAAAAGAGTGATTAAATCATAATTAATCACATTCAGATTTATATAGAATGCAGAGATTAGAGCAGCAAGAAATGGATATATCACAAAAAAAAAACCAAGGGTAATTCTGAGCTTGTCTTATCCTAACCAGTGATATAGGCTTTTGGCTTTCAACCTTAGATTACATTTATGTCCGTGTTCCATCAGCTATTACTTCACTGTTGTGAGTTGCCCAAAGTTCTCCAAGAGGGCTACAGCTTTTAAAAATTCCTACCCAGCTGCCATTGCTTGCTTATTTTGTGGAAATCAGACTGATGTTGGCTGAGATTCTAGCCGTTATGCATAATGTTCTTCACGTCCTCTCCATTCCCCTTTCCTTTGTCTGATTCGTAGTCAGGTCCAGAGAAAAAAGTCATAACTACATTTGGTAGAATTTGTATCATCAGAGTTTGGAAAACCTGTAACAGTGCTATAGTCATTGTGTTCAAAGCCAATATGTTAAATCTCCAACCCTAAGAGTGTAGTATGTGACCTGTTCCACTTAGCATAAAGTATGATTTTGAAGATTCTGCTTGATACTGCATATGCTACTCACTGAGCCAAAGCCAAATGGTATGAATTTACTGAACCTGTGCTATGGATTGCTGTGTAATTGCCTCTTTGATATTTGTTTGTTTCTAATGGAAAAGCCCTGATATTGGGGGTGGGTGTGCGTGGGTGGGTGTGCGTGTGTGTCAAGTTAAAATAATCCTTATGCATTGCAGATACTTCTCCAAGATGGGATATATCCCCCCAAAATCATAGGATCAGTTCTCCAGCCTTTCTGTGGTCAGAGCTTCTGTTTACTTTGGTAGTAATTCTTCAGTAGTAGCCTTTCTGGACTGACTTCTCTTTGTTGACTATTGCTGGCTGGCAGCATTTACTATCTCATTTCTGTTTTTAAATCCATTGTCTTTATTATGGAAAAGTGCAGTCTTTCCTCCTTTCTCAGAGAGAAACTGGTCTCAAGTGAGCTTGCAAAAATCACTGTAAAATTAAGATATGCATTAAGTAAAAGTCAGAATTACACAGTAGACCTTACAGATCTTTAAAGAGGATTAATGGGATTAGCATTTGGCTGTAGGTAAGGATGTTCAGTACTGGAGATAAAGACATGATTAATGGCTAATAATAGAAAATGATACATGAAGGACACCCCACCGCCAATATTTCTGTTGAATGTGCTCCCTCGTCTGAATTTCTCAGAAAGGATTATTGTATTTTTATATTCTAGTTGGTACCAGACATAATAAGATACGATATGCAGTACACATTTCAGATGAAATGTTATGGCAGTGTTGAGCCCCAAAGTTTAATAGAGAATGCAAGACTATGTGCAGTGATTCTGGAAGAAAGTGTGACAGAGAGGATCCGATTTTAATGCAAACTTTGTTTCAGTATTTAGCTGATGAAATATGAAAGTGGTTGAGAGTATCTGTTGAGGTTGGTTGACATTATTTGTTGCATGACCTTTCTGAGCACCAACTTCTTCTGACTGTTAGACTGAGTGTAGAAGTGCGGCATCATTAACAACACCAATCTACTCTATTGTTTCTTTAGAGTCTCATTTTCAGAAAATGCTCAGTACAATGGAAGTATGTCAGTTTTAATTCCATAGTGCAGTTTGATGCTTTTTGACAGCACACTAAACACATTCCTCTGTAGGAGGATTGAAGGTGGCTTCAGCAGCAGTATGTTGGATGCATACTTGAAAAGCAGTCTACTTGCTACACAATACAAGGCCCGGGTTTTGTGAGCTCCTGAGTTTCATTAATTCACCTTTAAATAAAAGGGACTTGAAAGAACTTGGCACTTCACTAGAGGAAATACAAATTTCACAGCCTGCTCTCCTCTGGCACATCTAGTTAGCTTTTCCTATTCATGTGGTTGTCAGTTGCCAATCAGCCTCCAGTGACTGAATTGGAGAACAGAAAACATCCAGAATTGGCAAGGGATGGATAAGAAGTCTTTCATTTCTAATTTCTATGAAACAATGTAATAGAGTATTAAACCTATTGAATGTTATGGCTGTTTGGCTTATGGATACACTTGCTTCTGTCTGTTGACAAACTTTTCTGTGTACTTCATTTGTTTCTGATGAAATAATTTTAGTTTCCCACAGTACTGTGAGTGCAAATAGAAATGGGAATGCAGTGAACTGTAACATGGCATGTAATAAATGTGTTATTTTAGTCCTATGTGTTTTCTTTCTAATCTGCATATAAACACTTGGTTCCAAGAAATTTAAGTGATAATCAAGAAAATGGCAGGAAACAGAGACTGTCATTACTTAGACTTAGATGCTGCAATCATTTTTCAAATCTACCTGGTAAAAGTTCGTTTACTGATAGCTGGGATCACAGTACTTGGAGTCATATTATTCTGACCATTACTGCCTAAACACATTCTTAAACCTATTCCTAATCAGTACTGTAATTAGACCAGAATTCAGAAAAGTGTGTGCTTATGTACTGTCATAAAGAGTGATGCTATCCTGAATTGATGCCATTAACACATGCTTAATTTGCACTAATTTCAATAATGAGTGTTCAGTAGCTCAAATGATTAAACATTAAGGATGTGAGCCAGAGCCTCTTCAGTAACAAGTTTTCTCACTGAAAGAGTGTGACATAAGAGGAGAAATTGCCATAAAGGTGGAGAGGTGGAAAAGTCAGGTGAAACTGCTTTATACTGCACCTATCTGAGGCATCTCCTGAAATATATTTTTCAAAAAAGAGACTTTTCCTTGATATTTCTGTATTAGTGTTCACCACTTGTCTGTTTTAGTAGTGAATACATCTCAGTGTGTTATTTTTAGTAAGGTTGTGCCTATGACTGTACCTCACTGATCTTCAGTGCATGTCTTCCGTGTCTGAATTAATCTGTTTTATGTAGTGGCAGTGCAACCAAAGCATGAGCTCTGGGTAACGTATTTTATATTCACATGTTGATGTGCTTCTAAGGCTTTAACTTTATCTGGTTTTCTGACATTCGAAGACATAGGATTGTGTAAGACTTTGAAGAAGAATCACCACCAACATGGTTTTAATAATTTTCTGTTGCTTACTATGGTAGTAAAAGACTTGTTTAAAAATGAGGTATGAACGGTGCTTTGTAATTTGTGAACACCTTTGAACTTTCAATTGAAAGCCCAACAGGAGGAGTCTGGATTTAAATATCTGTCTGCCTAAAGTAAGATATGTTTTGTTGAATTGCATCAGTCATCATTGCAGTTTACTGTTTCCACATACCTGAGAATTAGTGCAAATACATCTAATTTAAATTTTTAAAAGTCATTGTGAATATAATTATTTTAATTTATTGTAGTTTCAGTTACACATTAAATGTGATCTTTTATGTTTGTGAAATAATACTGTATTTTTTAGTCATTATAATAAATATAGAAAATGGAAACAAATGTAGACTTCCTCAGCTAAAAAATACAAGTCCAGAATTAGAAAGAATTACTGAGCTTCCATTCCTGAAAAAACTCAGTGAATGTCCACATGTCCCGTTGAATGTGCTGTGAGGCAGACTGACTCAGGAAGAGGTAGAATATTCTTCAGGCTGTAGAAAAGGCCCCTGCATTGGTTCATGCTATGGGCTTCCTACCCAAGTGGATGAAAGGAATAGACCTGTCCTTCCTTTTTCAGCTGTCTCCTGCTTCTGCTTCATTTGTACCAGCAATAGCGGTTGTAAAGCCATATTGCCAGATGAATCAAAACCTGGAAATTTAGCTTTATTTTACTCTCTTGTAAGTTAATGTTTCAACCAGGTGTGTGGGATCAGCTGACTGAACATACAAGACTATCACTAAGTTCTAGTCCAAGACAGGTGGTGGGAGCTTGCATCTGGAGGCAGAAGGATGGCTTCTTAATGATGGATGTATTTCATTCTGTTGAGAATCTGCACTGAAAGCTGGTGTGGAAGAAAGGGAAAGATGTGGGGGGAAAGGTTGCTGGGGGCAGTGACTCCAGAATCCAGTTGCATGGATCTGAGTGACTTATATTTAGTTAATAGGTTTCTCACTGGCATTTGTGATAATGCTCTTGATTCCCCGCAACATTTTTTTTTTTTTTTAATAAAACAAAAAAATTACTATGAACCTCCTATACATTAATTACAGACTGAATGAGTAATAGACAGTTATCTTGAGTGATCATTCTGGTGAAATGTCAGACAGAAAATCGGAAATCAGGTTAGATCAGAAAAAGGCTATATTTCTTTCTCGTTTTATTATTAATGGTAAAACTATTTTAAAATTTATTGAGTATTAGTTAGTACCATAAAACATCTGGGAACAGAAACCTGACCCAGACTGCATTCAATCATTGAGTTCCTCTCTCCTTCAGGGAGTGGGAAAGGCGGACTGTGAGCATTCCAGGCATGAACTGGGACAGCGGGTGTACTCCAGGGAGGTTAGTAGCAGTTTCTGTTTACAAGGGTGATCTCTGCCTGTGAGACTTTAATTTGAAACAGGGTACATGCTTCCAGAAGGTGGATGGGTGCTGTGACTTCCAGAATGATGGAAAAGCATCCCTGATCTTAATGTTTATCTTTGCACAGGAGTGGTTTCGTCAAGTTGACTGTCCTGTTATGAGGCACTGTGGTATTCCCCATGGGGTGTAGGGGGAGAGTTTTGATTGTACTCCTGGGCAAGGTGTCTAAATCTTGCCACAGGGCTCAGTATTGTGGGTTCTGAGCTGTTTTGGATTTGTTATGATGCTAGTCAAAAGGCAGTGAATACTAAACTTTTGATTTTACTTTCTAGTAAATCTCACTGAGAAAACTGGAGTGTTAGTGAAGCATGAGAGGAAATGTCAGACAGCCTGTGGAGATAGGAGATTAGCTAAAATTGTAATAGACTAAAGGATCTAGCCTTTTTTTCCATAGGTAAGTCTTGTTGCCCGTTAGCAATATATTGTTTCTAAAAATTTTTAAAGTCTCATGGCATTTTAAGGAAAAAAAAAAAAAAAAAAAAAAAAAACAAAAAAAACCAAAAAACCCACAAACTATAAAATTCCTGGGCAATCTCATTCCCCTTCTAAGTGACAAATCTTGCTTTGCCTGCAAATTTTGCTAATGGTAGAACATTATTTGAGTTGTGCAAGGAGAGCCACAGGGGATGTAAGACAGAAGACCTATAAACTATTCTACCTTGTTCTTCCTCTCAGTTCCTTTTCTTAATCAAGAAAAGAGTTTCAGAAGAGTCGGTATACGGCATGTGTAAATGAGGACAATTTAACTACTGACAACAGGGCCTGAATCTCACTAGCTGACAGGATCAAGCGAGACAGGAGTCTGCAGTAATAAGGCTTCTCTTTTGTAATTCTTTGTAATAGTGGCTTTTCCATACATCTCTGCATGCCTACCTGAGACTCAAACATTTTTCAGGTTGGACACAATTCTTTTGTGTGTTTCAGGCTTCACAGAATGATCTTTATTATCAGGGTTTGAGCCTTGCTGAATTCAAAAGAAAAGGTTTCCTCTTGAAGTTTCCCTGTCCGGGCGTTGCAGGTAGGAGATGTCTTGCCACCAAACATTGGAAAAGTGATTTTCAGTTGATCCCGCTGAAGAGGTGGCCTGGCTCTGTAGGGTGACACTGAGATTGTTTTGTCATTTAGACTTAAAAAGGTTGAAGACTGTTAACAGCAATGACCAGTACTTCCCCCACAGAGGATATATTACTTTTGCCGATTTGATATTTAAAAACAAAAACCAAAACCAGCTACTGTGGGTGGGAAGTGAGGATGAGTCATTATTTCACTGCAGATGTCTATTTTCCCTTGAATTGTTTTTCCTCCTTAGGAAGACAGTAAATAGGAATCTTTTGGCTTCTGAAATCTGCAGAAAACAGGTGATGGTCATTTTAAACAGGTAAAGTCATGTTTGTCCCTCTGCCCACTGATTGAATAGGAGCAGGAACAGTGAAGGTGCTTGCATTGTGGCTGAGATTTTCCAAGATAGGTAAATGTGGAGATTTGCATATTCATAGGCCCAGCGTAAATATACAATCTGTGTTCATGCTTCAGTCACCGAAAAAAAATCTTAATGGTTTGTGCATCTTTGCAGTATCTATTGTATGTCCCACTGTTGTCCACTGTGAATGCTTAGACTTCTTGTCTGGAAGTGAAGGGCCACGTTATGATAGCGTTACTTACAAATCATATTGCTATAGAACATAAATACCTCTTTAAATGAAACTGAGGGATCAGAATCTAGCAATCTCATGGTGATTCCTGTCTTGAAAAATCTAATCTTTGTTCTTAATTGCTGTTTCCAATTAATTAAATAATACTGCTACAATTTGTATTCCCCTTCATTGATGTTTTATAAACAATTACGATGTATGGTCTAAAAATTAAATTTACAGAAATATCCCTCAAAAATAACACTTGTTGTATTATTTGTCTTAGTATTTACTATATTGATGTTCCATTATTCAGATACACTCTTAATGCAAGTCTCTGTCTCAGCATCTATAGTTCACATAGTGTTTCAGTGATTCAGTTTGCCCCTTACTATTGGATCCTTTTTTCATTCTGTTTTTTAAAAAATGCTAGTATTTTTAACTTCCTAATTAAACATTCATACCATACATTTAATTTGATAGTGTTTTGGCACCAGTGGACAATGTTCCAATATTATGCATCAATGTTCCTTTTAAAATCTTTTATTAAAGCCCTTGTGGATAACTTACTGAAAAAAGTATGGAACATTAGGATAAATTTTGTAACTGTCAGTGCTGCTTCTATGGATTATACATAAAATAGATGATATTGATGCAAATTTATTCTTCCATTTCAGTTTTCCTACCAGATGCCTCCCCAGTTGGGCTAATACTATTATTGTAATTGTGCTGATATTTACAGTTCTACTCAGTTATTTGGTACTTTTCCAATAGCTTTGGTATGCAATCATCCAATATTATACTCAATTACCTAGAAACATCAAGGTATCCTCACAGGCTTTTAATGTGATTAAGCCATGACTTCTTCAGCCTCTCTTAAAATACCATAATCTTTTGTGTGTCATGCCAAAACTAAAGCATTTGCAGATATTGTTATTTCCTTCTCCATTTTGATAAAGTCTGTTGCTGGATTAGATGGAAACATTGACATCACCAGTTTAATATTTGACAACATTGTTCATGAGCATGGCTGAAGTAGAAGACTTCAGAGATGATAAACTGATGATGCTCTTGGCTAAATCCCATACAGCTGAGGCTTTCTGAGTGTGGTAGAAGTTATATTGACAATGGGAAAGATATATGTATAAATAACTGTATGTAGACTGGAAAGCAAGATATGAAAATTTTTGCATCAAGTTCTTATTGTCAATTTAACAAGCTTCCCTCCATCCCTAAAATTTATGTTCTGAATGTGACCAAAAAAGGTCCTAAAATAATCCATTTAGATTTGCACAGTTAGAATGTAGAAGTGGTTCAGAAGCTTAAAGTAAGTATGCCTCCATTTAATGGGTCTTATGGATTAATTTTTAATTTAACTCATTTTTACTAAAGAAGAAAGAGAGAACACAAATGTTCTGGTCGAAGATAGTCATTGATATCACTGAAGGCAAACGTAAAAATTCCCTCTTTGGTGAAAAGTTGATCTATAGATATAGGTAGGAGCAAATTCCCTTGGTGCTGAGACAGGAGCTGTGATTGCATTTGTGGAGTAGGTGGATTCTGCTCTTTATCTTGAGAACTCCATTGCTACCATGGTAAAAGATCGACTCAGCAGTTTACACTTTTTAGTATATCCTTAGTTTTTGGATGCCTCTTTTTCCTATGCGCAATTTAAGACATATGAAAAAGACCTGCTTTTCAGATTGTGAATGTTTAGCTCTTTTTAAAAATCATCCCCTTAGCTTTCAGTGTGAAGTACTTCAGAAGTGAGTAACTAGGCATCACTGATAGTGTTTTAAATAAATGTAAAGTTTAGATTGCTATAGAATGTTGCAGGAAGTTCAAATACGGTTCAAGGATAGAATTTTCTTGTCTTTTGTTTTCTCTTTCCTGTGGGTTTGTCTGTGGGGTGGTTTTTTTGTTTGTTTTTGTTTTTGTTTTTTTTTGTTGTTGTTGTTTTTGTCTGTTGTTTTTTGTTTTGTTTTGTTTTTTGTTTTTTTGTTTGTTTGTTTGTTTTGGTTTTTTTAATTTTCTTGAGGTCTGGGGAGAGACAAAAGCAAGTGGAGGGATTTCACCATATGGGCTTTTTTTGACAACACTATACCTCATGCAGAATGGTACATCAGCTGCTAAAAGCTAATTTTATTTGAGGACTGATGAGGCTTTGAGATTGATGACAGGAATAATGCTAACAAGCTCAGAAAGGAGTTGCTTGTGGCCCTCATTATCAGGAGGGGCTTGGCTGCTCAAGGCTTTGAGAACAGAATTTCTGAAGTGAGATTATAGGAGAGAGCTGGGTTATAAGGACTTCTAGAAAAAAAAAGATCTCAGAAACCTCTTGCCAGGAGAAGGCTGACAGTAGTTTGAAGGGTAGATTTTATAGCTCATGACTGTACTGTGAATGTTAATGTCTACTGAATTTTCATATAAACGTTGCACTAGTCCTTGTGCATTGAATGGAAATGTGCTTGCACCCTGGTGCATGGTTCATACAGATGTTTCTGAGATGTAGCTGTAATCTTCTAAATGTAAAACTCTGAAAGCCATAGTCTTAAAAAATAAATCTAAAACCACCATTTAATGCCATGTGTTCCGTGCAAAATGAACAGATTAGATGTTTGTGCTCTGATGTCTCTTAAACTGATAAGAATCAAGAGAGTTTCAACACTGAACTTTGTAAAGCAGTTGTAATGCCTTGTTTTTACTGTATCTGCTGTGAAGTTGATTGGTTACACTGTGAAAAAATAAATAGTGCCTGGCTACTTCTTTTCTGATGCTATTTATTGTCTACATGCCAGACATTCTTTTCTCTTTAGGACCATGATGATAATAGCCATTCTGGTGAAAATAGTCTCGTACACTGCTCTGATTGAGAGCAGTGTCTTTACTTGCTTTAAAATTTTTCCTTCTCTCTCCTTTCCTTTCCTCTCTCCCTCTCTTTCCTTCCTGAAATAATAATGTAAATAGAACATGAGTCATCTCACAGAAGTA